AGAAAGGGGGCTTCGCTCCTCGTGTTTAGCGTTCCTTCTTTGCAGCAAAGACCGACGGTGCTCATGCGCGGGGGGGGCCGGTGATGTAGGCTTCCGGGCAAGGGTCCGAAAGCGCTCCAAAATTTCAGGCGCCCACCCTTCTCCTCCTCCTCCTCCTCCTCTTCCTCCTGCTGCTGCTCCTCCTCCTCCTCCTCCTCTTCCTTCCCCTCCTCCCCCTCGACCTCCTCCTCCTCCTCCTCCTCCTCCTCCTCCTCCTCTTCCTTCCCCTCCTCCCCCTCCCTCCTCCTCCTCCTCCTCCTCCTCCTCCTCCTCCTCCCTCCTCCTCCTCCTCCTCCTCCTCCTCCTCCTCCTCCTCCTCCCTCCTCCTCCTCCTCCTCCTCCTCCTCCTCCTCCTCCTCCTCCTCCTCCTCCTCCTCCTCCTCCCCCTCCCCTCCTCCTCCTCCTCCTCCTCCTCCTCCTCCTCCTCCTCCTCCTCCTCCTCCTCCTCCCTCCTCCTCCTCCTCCTCCTCCTCCTCCTCCCTCCTCCTCCTCCCCCTCCCCTCCTCCCTCCTCCTCCTCGGCCGAGTTGGCTCCTCGGGGTCCCCTGCGAGAATGTGCCTTGCCACTGCTTGAGGAGCGCCCGAGTGGAACGACGAGCGCCCGGTGGGTCAGCCACTCCGGCGAGGCCCCGTAATGGAAAGGACACGTCCTCCATCTCCCTCCTCTCCTCCTCCTCCTCCTCCTCCTCCTCCTCCCCTCCTCCTCCTCCTCCTCCTCCTCCTCCTCTCTTCCTCTCTTTCTCCTCTTCCTGCTCCTCCTCCTCGTCCTCCTCCTCCTCCTCCTTCTCCTCCTCCCTCCTCCTCCTCCTCCTCCTCCTCCAACCCTCCTCCTCCCTCCTCCTCCCTCCTCCTCCTCCTCCTCCTCCTCCTCCTCCTCCTCCTCCTCCTCCTCCTCCTCCTCCTCCTCCTCTTCCTTCTCTTTCTCCTCTTTCTCCTCCTCCTCCTCCTCCTCCTCCTCCTCCTCCTCCTCCTCCTGGCCATTTCCCTCTCAAGGGTGGCTCGGGGAGTGGTGTGGTGCGAGGGTTTCTTGAAAGTGGCGCGCTCGCACGGGCCGATGGCATGCCCCGCCGACGGAACGCCTCAGCGTGGCGGAGTGTTGGAGGGCCCCGGGTTGGCCGCGGAGAGCCGGAGCCTGTTCACAAGCTCACAGCCTTCAGAAGGGCCCAGTGGAGGGCTTGATACCCTGGGTCCACGAGGAGGTCGAGCGGCTGGCCAGGCTGCTAGTGAACGACGCCCACCACAAGCAGTTCGAGGCGCTGCAGGAGCCACTGGTGAGGCTGGCCCAGGCCGACGCACGCGGGAAGAGCAGGTCACGCTCCCCGGTGAAGGTCGTGCGGCCCAGAGGGCAGGACAAGGCGGCGGAAACCACGGTCCTTCCACCGTGGAGGCGCCAGCCCGTGGCACGACGTCCGGAGGCCGCGCGGAAGGCGGCGCCCGAGGAGTCGAAGAGCCAGCAGGCGCTGACCGCGCAGGAGGAGAGGAGCAAGGCGGACAAGGTCTCGGCAGGCGCTGACCGGCAACGACAGCAATTCGGACACCGAGGACTCGGCGCTGAAGGCCCGGATCGACTGGGAGGCCGATGGGGAGCAGGTATGCCCGTTCGGTGGCGAGGACACGTCCCGTATCTCGCTGGCCTTCCCGGCGCCGGCCACGTCGCCGCGGCGGAGCCGGGAGGTGTCGCCGCCGCCCGCCCGGGCGTCCGTGGTGAACGTGTAGCTCATCGAGTACGAGCCGGGGGCGAAGGGGACGCGGCGGCAGGTGCTGGGGCGGTCACAGATGCATCGCCCGCGCAAGTCCAAGCGGGACCAGGCCAATGCCTAGCGCTCCTGCAAGGGCTTGTCGGACCGGTCCAAGGAATGGAAAGACTGGAAAATTGCGAACGCGAGGTCCCCAGGCTGGCACTGGTAGGGGTAGAGATGTTCTGCTTCCACGAGTGCGAAGCATTTCGAAGCGTGCTGGGACTTCGAGACCGTTTCTGACACGCTGGAGCCGCCGCCGCCGAAGAGCGAGGAGCTGGACAACGGCGTGGCCCATTCAGACCCTGGTGGCCGTGTAGAAGGTGATACGCAGCCTCGCGGAGCTGCCAGAGGGTGAGGAGGAGCTGCTAGGCCTCATCGATTGGTGCCGCACTTCTTCCTGCCCGTGTCCAGGGGCAGTGAGGGTGAGTGCCCTGACCCAACGGGCATCGTGGCGCGCGTCCAGGAGGTTTTCGCGCCGGGGCCGGGTGTTTGACTTGGCCCGCTTGCAGTTCAAGCAGGTGCTCCAGGGGCTCCCGGAGAGGAGGTGAGGACTTCCAGAGAGGGGACCGGAGGGGACGACTTGGGCAAAGATACGGAGACCACCAATGGCTCGTTGGGCGCGGAGGGGTCGAGGGCGCGGCTAAAGCTTGAGCGCGACCTTGGCACCGATGCGGACATCGCAGAATCCGAGTGCCCAGGCAAGAATACTGGGGCACGTTGTTCTCTTGCGCAAGGTCATGACCGGCAGGGGGCCTTCATCGAGGGCTCTCGGGGATCGACGCCAGTGGGCGGGCCAGCCTGCAAGAGGCTCTGCACGGGGTCGTCGCTCTGCAGGCTGTGCACGGTCTCTGCTCATCCTGCACGTTTGCCGACGCGCTGGCCGATTTCCTCACCTCGATGGGCCTGCTGCGAAGGCGACTCGCTGGGGCAGGAGATCCGCGTAGTGGACTCCTGAGCGGGGCGCCTTGGCCGTTTGGTCCATCGTCGCCACGGTTGGACTCGGATCGGAGAGGTGGGGGCTCTTTCCCGAGGCCTGGATGGGCCGAGGGGGAAGCCGTGGTGCCCTGGGGGGCGGTCGTCCGGGGCCTGGCCCTGCGGGCCAGGCGCGCTTTCGAAACCTGCGCGGAGCGTGGGCCGCCCAAGACGGGCGAAGCCTGGCATCAGACTTGGCATTCTCAGTCTCAGTCTCAGTCTCGTCCTCCTCCTCCTCCTTCTCCTGCTCCTGCTCCTCCCTCCCACCCTGAGATCGTGGCATCGCATCGTTTTCTTTCTCTCGCACCGGGCGTTTTCGCCCGCCGCCGGGTCCTGGGACCATCGCAGTTCGATCTGGCTCGAAACATGCTGCAGGAAGATGGGGTGCAGGCTAGGGCCGTGATATGTTGCGAGTTTTTTTTTTTTTTTTTTGTTATCCCCTACCTAGGCTCTGCCTAGAGGGGTTCTTACTTTATTAGCTTCAAGGGGCCGGGCAGTGGGCCTCGCCCCGGGCGGTTCCCCCGGCATCCGCCCCGCGGTTCCTCCAGTGACGTTCCCTTCGCTTCGCGTTGCTTATCTCATCTTAGCTTAGCTTATCTCATCTTAGCTTAGCTTAGCTTTATCTTAGCTCAGTTCACTCCCTACCTAGGCTCTGCCTAGAAGGGTTCTTACCGTGTGTGCTTAAAGGGCCGGGCAGTGTAAGTCGCCGCGGGCGGTTCCCCCAGGGTCCGCCCCGCGGTTCCCCCAATGACGTTCCCTTAGCTTAGCGTTGCTTATCTTATCTTAGCTTAGCTTAGCTTATCTCATCTTAGCTTAGCTTAGCTTAGCTGACCTTACCCTGGCTTATATATCTTAGCTTAGCTTAGCTTAGCCGAGCTTAGCTTAGCTTAGCTTACTTTAGCTTAGATTAGCTTAGCTTAGCGCAGCATAGCGCAGCGCAGCATTAGCACAGCATATCATAGCATATCATAGCCAATCATAGCATAATCAAGCATATCATAGCTCTTTGTATCACAGCATCGCATAGCATAGCATAGCGCAGCATATCATATCATATCATATCATACCATTGCTTAAAATAGCACAGCGCAGCATAGCATAGTATATCATAACACAACACAGCACAGCTTAGCATATCATAGCATATCATAGCGCAGCATACCATAGCATATCATAACATAGCATCGCGCAGCATATCATATCATATCATAGCCTAGCATAGTATAGCATAGCGCAGCATAGCATATCATAGCATATCATAGCGCAACATAACATAGCATAGCACAGCGCAGCATAGCATCTCATATCATAACCTAGCATGACACAGCGCAGCCGAACGTACCCTAGCATATCATAGCATAGCATAGCGCAGCATAACGCAGCATAGCGAAGCATAGCATAGCATAGCATAGCGCAGCATAGCCTAGCATAGCATAGCATAGCAGCAAAGCAAAGGCAAATCAACAGCAGCAACAGCAAAGCAAATCACAAGCAACGCAAAGCCGGACCTGCAGTGCTGAACAGCCTGTAGCTGTCGGTGTAGATGTAGATGTTGTTTTCCTAAATGCTCCAACTCCTAGGTAGGGTCGCACTGGGATAATGTTTGTTCCCCCCCCCGCAATGTCGGATCGCAGGGGCCCCCTCGTTATGAAAGCATCACGAAGGAAGGCTTTCGATAATTTTCGGCCTTAAGGGGGCCATCGTCGGGCCCCAGGACTTGTCAATAGACGGCTCGGGATGCAGAACCCGGTCCCAGGGAGGGGGTCTGTGCCTGTGGGGGCTCGCGTCGTGAAGCAGTCACGACGACGGAAATTTGGGTCCAGGGGCCCGCTTAATTCCTGCTGTTGTCTCCCACCCCCCTCCCCCCCTCCCCTCCCGCCTATCCCTCCCTACCTCTCCCTCCCTCCCCTCTCGGTGAACCGCTGGCAGCGGACTCCGCTCAGTGCCTGGCGAGCTGCTCGCTCCCCCGGCGGACAGGCGAACTGCTCGTTCCCCCCACCCCCCGCCCCTCGGAGGAGTTAGGAGAGAGGATGGGGGAACGAAGAGGAGCGAGGAGGAGGCGCAGGAGGAGGGGCAAGCGGAGGAGGCGGCGGCGGCGGCGGCGCAGGAGGAGGAAGAGGAGGAGGCGGCGGAGGAGGAGGAGGAGGAGGAAGGGTAAGAGGACGAGGAGGAGGAGGAGGAGGAGGACGAGGAGGAGGAGGAGGAGGAGGAGGAGGAGGAGGCCACACAGGACGCGCAGCTTCTTTCGGACATGGCGGAGGAGCGGGCCAAGGAGCAGGCCGAGGCGCTGGCGGCGCGGGCCCAGGAGATGTCCGCCCAGTCGCAGGAGCAAACGGGCTCTTCATGACCCTCCTCCCTCCTCGTTCTCCCCCTCCTCCCCCTCCCCCCTCCCGCCTCCCTCCTTCCTCCTCCCTCCCTCCTCCCTCCTCCCTCCTCCCTTCTCGTTCTCCTCCCTCCTCCCTCCCTCCTCCCTCCTCCCTCCCCCCTCCCTCCCTCCTCCCGCTCCTCCCCTCCCCTCCCCCCCCTTGGCGGGCGCGTCTTGCCGAGGCGACGGGCCGGCACGCGGCGCACCCTTTTCAGAGGCCACGGCCTCCACGCCACGCCCTCGCGGGCACGGGCGCTGCGCCCTGCAGTGGAGCGCGCACGACTCCGGCGTGTTCGCTTCGCAGCGCTGTGCTGCGCTGCGCTGTGCCTCGCCTCCCTCCTCCCTCCTTCCTCCTCGTTTCCTTACCCCTCCTGTTCTGTGTTGCTTCCCCTCCTTCTGCTGCTGCTGCTGCTGCTGCTGCTGCTGCTGCTGCTGCTGCTTCTCTCGCCTCCCTACCTCTCTGTCTTCTCGCTGCCTGACCTCTCCTATTCTGTGTTGCTTCCCCTGCTGCTACTGCTGCTGCTGCTCCTCCTTCTCCTGCTCCTCCTCCTCTTTCTCCATCGATCCGCCCTATGGCAGGGTGGGCTGGCCGTTTTAGCTCCCCGCGATGTATGGCAGGTGCGCATGAAGTTTCCAGCTGTTGCGCGGGTGGATGGCGGGCTGTTTTCGTGAGCCTGGCGCGACCCCAATGGGGGGAACACTTCCTTTTGCATGGGCGCATTGCTCGGTATTGCTTGGGGTTTCTTGGGACTGCCTTGCATTGCTTTGTATTGCTGCTCACTGCTTGGCATTACTTGGCTTGGCTTGGCATTGATTGGCATCGCTTGGCAGTGCTTGGGATTCACTGGCATTGTTCGGTAGCGCTTGGCATTACTTGGCATTGCACGGACCGGGGAACCCAGGGAACAAGGCCCGGGAACCTGAGGCACAACGCCGGGGAACCCGATAAAAGGAAGGCAAGGAGCAAGACTGGAACCGAGGCAGGACCGTGGGAGCCTAAGGAACACGACCGGGGAGCTGGAGCGAGGCAGCAAGGACACCAAGACCAGGGGACCGAGCGAGGCCAGGGGCCGCCTCCGCATCGGGCGGTCGCACCCGCGGGTTCTTCAGAGGAGAAGCAGGAGCCCCCTAGGCAGAGCCCGATTCGGGGCAGCGGTTGCTCTTTGCCCAGTGCGGCGGGATGGAGGGTGGCCCACTGCAGGAGGTGGAGCTCTCCCCCCGGCGCGCGGGAGGGGGGGCGGGCCGGTTTCAGGGTGTGGCCGTTGCGCTGGTTTTGCGCGTGCCCCTCTTAACAGGATGCAGCATTTGCACAGAGGGAGGGCATGATCATGAGGCTCTCTCCCAATAACTGTAGATGTTGTGCTTACAATTGGCATGTGTGCAGCAACCGCACGGATGAAGGGCGGTTCCTGTTACAAATGGCGCTCTCGCCCGAGAATTCGTCGACATGTTTCGATCAGACGTTACAATTGCGCAGCAGCAGCGGGGGTGGAGGACGGCTCTTTCTCATTACGGCTCTTTCTCATCACGGATCTGCTTCGTGGCCACACGCATCACATGGTATATTTTTTGCACGGGTGGAGGGCGGCTCTTGTTCAACGCGGGGATCTCGCTTCTCGCTGGACGCTTCCATGACCTCCTCCTCCTCCTCCTCCTCCTCCTCCTCCTCCTCCTCCCCTTCCTCCTCCTCCTCCTCCTCCTCCTCCTCCTCCTCCTCCTCCTCCTCCTCCTCCTCATCCTCCCCCTCCTCTCCACCCCTCTTCCTTCCTTCTAATGCGTCCTTCTTCCCCTCCTCTTGCCCTTTCCTCTTCCTCTTCTTCCTCCTATTATTTTTCCTCCTCCTCCTCTTTCGCCTTCCTCCGTCCTCCTCCTCTTCCTCCTCCTCCGTCGACTCGTCCCCTTTCCTCCCCGTCCTGCTGCTGTCGCTCCTCCCTAGTTTCCCTCATGACATTGGCATAGCCCGGGAGACCCAGACAATGCAAACCATGCTTTGTCAAGATGATGTGGAAGTTGTGATGGAGAGTATTTCGGCCGGTGGTTGCAGTTTTCTTGGGCCGACTCTTGGGCGTGCCAATGTCCTGGCCTACGGATTCTCCCGTTCGCCGGGCCCGGAGAAAAGTTTCCGCCCTGAGTTGCTTAGAACGGTGACGTCTCAGTAAGTCAGAATTGTCCTCAGAATCATCGTGCCCATCGGCACTGGTCATCGAAACTAGATCATACATCGGACGTTTCCTTCCTCCCCCACTTCGTCGTCGACATCCTGGCCTCCCAGAGGAGGAGACTGAGGAGGATGGTCAAGGATCCAGGGTGGTTGACCGAGGTTTTCGGACGTCCTTGGCCAGTTTTGAACTCATGGAGGTCGCCCTCGTGCTTCACCCCCTCCTCCGCCTCTTCCGCGTCCTCGTACGCCCTTATCCCTCAGGGCTCGAGCAAAACGGTGTTTTGGCGATTTCGTGGACCGTTTTCGTCTTGACTCCGCCTCGCAGCGAAGGCAGAGCGAAGACAGAACGAAGGGGAACGAACACAACGAACACGAACATGTTTAGCTCGAGCCTTGTTATCACGTCCGTCCCTTCATCACCCTTCTTCTCCTCACCATCCTCTCCCTCCTTTGGTTGCCTTGCACGGTCGCCGTACGATTACCCTTTGAGTTTTGCTCTGCTGCTTACTCGTCCTCCTTCTGCTCCTTGCTCCTCCTCCCCTTCTCCTCCTTACATCCTTCTTCCTCTCCTCCTCCTCTCCCCGCCACCTCCTCCCCATCATTTTCGTATCCTTCTTCGTAATAGTGCTATTTATGTGTTATTGAGGCTTATGTTGTTCCTAATCCTTATTGCCACTCTACCTCCCTCACTCACTACCTTGCCTCTTTCTTAGTTGCTTCCCTCCTCCTTCCCCCGGCTCCTGCACCTTCTCTTCTTGCCTCCCTTCCACCCTTCCCCCTCCTCATTCTCTTCCTTCTCCTCCTCACTCTCTGCCTCCTTCTACTCCTCCGCCTCCCCATCTTCCCCATCCCCCACCCTCTTTCCGTCCGTTCTCTCTCGCTCTCCCTCCTTCCCATTTGTCCCACTTCCTTCAGCTCCTCCTTCCCCTCTTCTCCTCCCTCCCTCCCTCTTGCTCCGCCTCGTCGTTCTCGTCCTTCTTCTTTTCCCTCCTCGTTTCCCTCCTGCTGCTGCTGCGACTGCTCCTTGTCCTCCTTGACCTCCTCCTTCGCCTCCTCTCCCCTTCCCCCTTTCCCTCCTGCTGCTTCTCCTTCTTGTTCCCTCGTCCTCCCTCCTCCTCCTCCTCCTCCTCCTCCTCCTCCTCCTCCTCCTTATCCTTCCTGCCATGTGGGACGGGAAGGTGCGCTTCTTTGCTCCACAGGAGCAGCTGGACGCACTGCTGCAGAAGCTCATGGACCTGATGTCGCAGCTGAGGGTGCAGGACGACGGGGAGGAGGAGGAGGAGGAGGAGGAGGAGGAGGAGGAGGAGGAGGAGGAGGAGGAGGAGGAGGGGGAGGATAATGAGGGGGAGGCAGGAGGGGGAAACAGGAGGGAGGGAGAAGGGAGGACATGGACTCGCCGGGGCGGGCGCCCGCGGGCCCGGAAGGCCCGCAGCCTGCGCTGCAGCCAGGACGCCGAAGTAAGGATCTGCTAGGGTTCGGACGGGACTCGATGTTCCTTAGGTCCTTCCGTGGCTGTTCCGCCAGCCCTCCTCGTGCACGCCTTTTTTTCGCCAAAGCAATCCTCGCGGCCATGCTTAGTTAACATATCAGGCACGCAGGCGCAGGGGGGGGGGTCAACACGTGGGTCCTCGTGCGCGCAGGCGCTTGGGGGGGGGGCACAACGTGGCTTCGTTCCCTATCCGTCGTTCCTTACTTCAGCAGCCGCACCGTACAGTTCGCGTGCGCGACGGCCGCCCATTTTTTAAGCCCTAGCTGCACATCTGGCATGGGACTTCGCTCCAAGGTGTCCCAAGGTTTTCGTCTGTGCCTGCAGGTGTTCTGACGTCTTCGGCGGGCATTCGACGGCTGTCCGCGGTGTTCACATGTTCTAGAAGACTCCTGGAGTTAACCTAAAGGTTTCTGGAGGCAGGGGGGAAGAGGAGAGGGAGGATGGACAGGGAGGGGGAGGATGAGGATGAGGACGAGGATGGTCATGGTAATGGCTATGATGGTGGCAGTGCTCCTGGCGGATGGGGTGCCTTCACGGGGCGGGGGGGACCTTCTGGTGTCGGGAGCCTTGAGACGGGGGTCAATGCAAACCAGGGTCAGCCAGAGCGCCGGTTCCCGCAGGATTCTGCAGAGCCAGGGGTGCATTGACCCGGGCTTGCGTGCAGAATTGCGCAGGATCTTGCAGGATCCAGCAGGATCTTGCAGGGTTCTGCGAAGCCTGACTGACCTGGGTTTGCATTGACCCGGGTCAGTGCTTCCCCGACGGTGGCCTGCAGGACATGGTGGAGTCTGCCCAGCACATGGCGGAGGAGTGCGCCGAGAGGAAACTCCTCCCCTTCCCCTGCCCTCTCCCCCGCCCTCCCTCCCCCCCTCTTCGCCCCCCTCTCTCTCTTCGCTCCCTCCCCGGCCCTCTCCCCCGCCTTGTCCCTCCCTCTCCCTTCGCCCCACCTCTCTCTCTCTCTCTCGTCGCCCTCTCCCCCGCCCTCTCCCTCTTCGCCCCCCCCTCTCTCTCTTCGCGCCCCCCCTGGGCTCCCAGGCCCTCTTCCCCTGGAGGCCCTGCCCCCCCTTCGGTTATTACAGAGGACGCGGCCATGCGTGCTCTGCTCTCCTCGCTCTCCTTCTGGGCGGCCACTCTCCTGCCTCTCGCGCAAACTTTGAGTTGCTCGTCGATTCTACGAACAGTGCGCATACTCTTCGTAGGCCTACTAACATTATACGTACCTCTGGGGTACAATTCTGTAGTCGATCCCCTACTCGAGTACTGCTCTCGCACGTGTCTTCAAGATGGGCATGCACATCCAGCCGAGGAAGAATTCGGGGCCTCGAGGCCCTGGTGCAATGAGGGCTTCGAGGCCCCGGCCTTGGACCAGCTCGTGACCGAGGCATGCGATCATCCACCCTTTCCCTCAGGGGCCACGGCTCTTCCCGTCCCGCCCAAACGGGCGCGGCTCTGCCCGCAGCAAGTCCAGATGGACGCTCGCTCGCTCGCTCGCTGGGGCCCCGAAGCCCCACTTGCCCGCTGGGTCCTCCTTGGGCCTCTCCCCGGCCTCTGAGAGCAATCCCGGCGTGCCCCCCCAGACTCCCGCAGAGGGCGCGAGCAAGCGACACGAGACCCCAAGAACAGCCTCGACGCCTCCAGAACTGTCCCAGGACAGCCCACAACGGCTGCCAGAGGGCTCCGGAGACGGGCCCAGGGAGCCCTGAGATGATCCTGGGAATATCCCCGAGACGTGAAACTATTGGATTATCTGAAGGTTTTTGGCAGGCTCTATAGTCGAGGCTGATTAACAGGTCAACCCTGTCAAATTAAGGGTACCGTTGTGTCCTGTGTTGTGCGACCCATGCTGTTTACACTCCTGTGGCAAGGTGGCCCTCGGAAGGGTCTCGTGTCTTCTCGCGTGTCCTCTCCAATCAGCCCCAACTGTAGGATTCTTGCTGTTCGGTTGCTCAGAGCGCCCAAGTCGGCCCAAGACCAGAGCAGATCAAACGGCCCCCCAAAAGAACCCCAGGATGTGCTCAAGGCAGCCCAAGAGGGACCTGAAACGGCTCCGAAAAATCCCAAGATGGCCCACTTGGGCCCCAAGCCAGCCAAAGTGGGACCTCATATGTTCCGCGACGGCCCCAGTATGCTCCCAGTACGGCTCAGAGGGCCCACGAGGGCCCCAAAACTGCCCAAGATGCCCTCAAGACGCCCCCCAATCGGCCCCAGCAGACCTTCCAGACGGTCCAGGAAAACCCCCAATCCACACCACGCGGGAGGCGTTTGGTCAGCTCTTCCTGGGGGGGTCGTGATGTGGTCGAAGCTGGGGGGGCACACGCCGAACGCTGCCGCCCTTGCCGCCAGGCCTGGGGTGCATTCGTACAAGAATTTTGACCCCAGCCATGGCCACGATGGCCTCTGGAAGAGATGATGATGATGCTGCTGCTGCTGCTGCTGCTGATGATGATGATGATGATGATGATGATGATGATGATGATGATGATGATGGTGATGATGCTGCTGCTGATGATGATGATGATGCTGATGCTACTGCTAAGGACGATGCTGATGATGCTGATGATGATGATGACGACGACGACGATGCTGACGACGATGCTGATGACGCTGCGGATGATGATTATGATGATGTTGACGGTGACGACGATGCTGCTGCTGCTGATGCTGCTGATGATGATGCAGCTGATGCTGATGACGATGATTACGATGCTGATGCCGATGATGATGGCGAGGCTGATGGTGATGCTGATGATGATGGTGACGATGATGATGATGGTGATTCTGATTATGAACATGACTGTGATGATGATGCTGCTAATGATGCTGCTGATGATGCTGGTGCTGATGCATATGATGTGAGGCTGCTGCTGCTGATTAGAAAGAGCGTGTTCTACCGCTGCTGGCGGAAAACCGGGGGGGGTCACTACCGGTTCGAACCCCTCCCCCCCCCCCCCCCCCCTCCGGAAAAACCGGGGGGGTCACACTCGGTTCGAACCCCTCCCCCCCCCCCCCCACACCCCCTGCTCATCATGAAAGTGGGGGGGGGGGTCACGATCGGTTCGAACCCCCCACCCCCCCCTCCTCGAAAACCGAGTGGGGGTGCGGACAGTGGTGGGGACGGTGTTGGTGGGGACAGTGGTGAGGGGATAGCGGGACAGTGGTGGGGACAGTGGGATAGTGGGACAGTGGTGGGGACGGTAGTGGTGGGGACAGTGGTGGGGACAATGGTGGGAACAGGGGGGGACAGTGGACAGTGGTGGTGACGGTGGTGGTGGGGACAGTGGTGTGGGGACAATGGGAAGGAGGTGGAAACAGTGGGACAGTGGAGGGTACAATGGTGGTGGGGACAGTGGTGAAGGCGGTGGCGAGGACGGCGGTGGGACAATTGGACAGAGGTACAGTGGGGACAGTGGTGGGGAAAGTGGGGACAGTGGTGGGAACAGTGGGACAGCTCAGTGGGACAGCGGAGGAGTCAGTGGGACAGTGGGGATAGTCGGGCAGCGGTTGGGGCCGTGGAGACAGTGGGGAGAGTGGAACCGTGGTGGGAACAGTGCTGGGGACAGCGGGGACAGTGCGACAGTGGTGGGGCCACTGGTGGGGACAGTAGGGGCGGTGGTGGAACCAGTGGGGACAGCGGTGGTGAGGACAGTGGTGCTGGAAACACCAGTGGGGGATGTGATGCGGACGGTGGTGGGGACCGGGAGTCGTTTGCTGGCGGTGAGTAGGGGGGAGGGGGGGGGGGGGAAGGGGGGGTGCGAACCGGTAGTGGCCCCCTCCAGTTTTCCGGATCCGGAGGGTAGGGGGGGGGGGGAGGGGTTCGACCCTGTAGTGAACCCCCCGGTTTTCGAGCGGGAGGGGGGGGGGGGGGGGGGAGGATTAGGGGGGAGGGGGGGGTTTGCCGGGGGAGGGGGGGGGGGGGGGGGGGAGGTCCAGAAGGGGGGGGGGGGGGGATTGTCGGAGGGGGGGGGGGAGGCGACCCCCGGGCTCCGGAGGAAAAGGTTGGCAATTTTCCACAGTAGAGCGGCGGTGGATCACGCTCTCTCGCTGATTATGATGTTGATTATGCTGGTGATGCTGCTGGTGCTGATGAAGACGACGATGATGATGACGATGATGATGATGCTGAGGATGATGCTGCTGATGATAATGCTGATATTGCTGGTGATGATGACGACGATGCTGATTGTGATGATGATGCTGCTGCTGATGATGATGATGATGATGATGATGATCCCAATGATGATGACGATGACGATGATGCTGAAAACGAGTATGATGATGCTGCTGATGCTGCTGATGATGATGCTGATGCTGATGATGCTGATGCTGATGATGCTGATGATGTTGATGGTGCTGATGCATCTGATGTGGGGCTGCTGCTGCTGATGATGCTGATGAGGCTGATGATGCTGCTGATGCTGATGACGATGATGCTGGTGATGAGGATGATGATGCTGATGCTGATAATAAGAATGATAATGATGATGCTGATGCTGATGACGATGATGATGATGGTGATGGTGTTGTTGATGCTGATGCTGAATCTGATGCGAACGACGTCGACAATGATGAGGATGACGATGACGATGATGCTGCTGCTGATGCTGATGCTGATGATGATGATGCCGATGATGGTGATGATAACGAGGCTCATCATGTTGGTGATGATGATTATGGTATTGATGATGATGTTGCTGATGCTGATGATGATGATGCTGATGATGCTGATGATGCTGCTGATGTCGATGATGCTCATGATGATGCTGATGCTGATGCTGATGCTGATGATGATGTTGATGATGATGATGATGATGATGATGCTGATGATGCTGCTGATGATGATGATGACGATGATGATAATGCTGCTGATGATGATGATGATGATGATGATGATGATGATGATGATGACGTTCAGGAGGAGGAGGAGGATGAGGAGGAGGAGGAGAAAGGGATGATGAGGAGGAGGAGGGAGAGGACTAGAGTAAACCCAGGATGCATTATCGACGCTGCAACACACGCTTCTGGAAAGTCCCCGCACGCACGGCGAGCGCCCCAGAAGTGTGCAACGCAGGCTCCTCGAAAATGATGTGCCCGCCGTCTTTCCTGCTGCAAGACATGTGGTGAGAAAGAGCCAGGCAGCTTAAGGACGTTTGGAGCGAGAATCCAGTTTTGTCAACGGGCCGTCTTCCACCCGTATAGTTCGCTGTTGTGCAATCTCAGTGTTTTGAAACTTGAGTACGGGGAAGTGCCCAACGAGAACCCCGCCCCGAACAAGAAAGCACCAAGACGCCCCAGAATGGGCCCACGACGGTCCCGAAACGGCCCTGTTCTACCGCTTAGACGGACCCCCCAACATGCGTCCCCTCTGACGCGTCCCGTGGCCCAGTCAGACGGCTACACGCCCGCCCGCAGAGTCCAGAGACCCCCCAACATGAGGCCTTGGAAGCCCATCTTGGGGCTACCTGGGGCCACTCTGTGGCCCTCCTTGTTTCCGCTTGTCGGCGTCTCCTTTGCCCTCTTGGAGCCAGGTTCGATTTAA